AGGAGGAGGAGGATGGAAGTGGTGGGTCAGAAGAATTGTCAGAGTTAATTGGAGGCGGAGAGGAGGAGGAAGAGGCGGGCGGAGGGACGATGGTTTGTGCAGTTCGAGAGGCGCAGTTAATCCGAAGATGTCCAACAAGTCCGATGCGAGCCCGGAATGTCCGTTGACATCGAGGACACGTTGGAAGCGGTTGTGCGGCGGCGTTGCGTACTGGGCGAAGTTGTGATTTGTGGGCTTCGCGTTTCGCTTTGGCGGCAGCGATGCGGTTGGCTTCGTAGATCGCAGCGCCTGTCTTCACTGTCCTCCTCCAGGTCGGTCGATCGAGTGCGAGCTCCTCCCAGTACAGTACATTTCAGAGACTTTGTTATGTACAGCAGGATCTGTTTTTCGCATACGCCGTTTATTTTTAAGATCAGGACGAAGCAGTGAAAAAAAATTCTTAAAATACAAAAGCAAGAGGATTAGTTAGGGAACCCGCACCTTTAAAAGACTCTTTGCGAGGATTAAAACTACTTCGAGTAGAGGTATTGGGGGGAGCGGGTAGGGGATTTCTTGAGGGGAGCATGAAACGTTGAAGATAGATCAGCGAGAGAGAACGAAACGCAATTATGGTGCGCCTGGGAAAGCTAGGTTGTGGCGATCTCCACATCCGTCATAGGCCCGTTTTAGCTCAGCCATAGCCCCTGGTGCTGATTGGGAAATGTGATAGGATAAGGTAATTTGGCGGCGGTGTCCTAGATTTCCAATGGCGCTTTTTGAAGTCATAGTCGGGTGGGATGTAAAAAAGACGAGGAAATAAATTAAGAAATAGCGGCGGGAAGGGTCATGAATGTTGTAATGACGAGTTGTGTTCAAAAGCGCGTCCTTTGGATCTGATTTAAGCCTCCAGCTCCCCAAGATTTCTTCGATTTTATTCGGTAGTATATGGCAGACTCGACGACACATGGAGAAAACCTGCGAGCTGACAGCATATTATTTAGATTTCGAGTGCACCAGATCGAGATTTCTGCAGTTTTTGGAATCTTTAGGTCTCGAATTTATTTCCCCTGGTGTCAGGTGAGGAACACACCCGAATCGTCCAAGAACAGATTCAATTCGCGCCGGTGAAGCATATCTCAAATTTGCCCTCAGCAGCCACCTGCAATTGTCCATCTATCTGGGCAAGGCTCTCTACGTAACAGTTTTCCTCCAAGACCCACATGGAAAAATGCAAACGGCCGAGTCATTTTCTGACTAACTTCAAACTTGATAACCTATCTATCCTAGCAACTTGTTGAAAATAAGCGGCACAATTCCAGAACAGATTGAAAACTTATAAAACCATCAGCAATGAGCCACTATGTTATAAGAAGCACGCTCGCTGAAGTGGCACAACCGGAACTGGAACTCGGTACTTCCGGAACTAGAAATAGAAATAGAATAGGTTTATTATAGCGCCCCTTGTGCTCTGTCAGTCTCACTTGAGGGTGGGATTTTAATCACCGCACTTCGGACAAACGGTCGGTAGTTGGTCAGAATAATTGTCAACCACGTAACAGCAACTGAGAAGTGTTTTTAATTCATTAACAGTCTATTGCGAAAAATGTCGATGGGATCATTTGACTCCAAGGGGATCAAGCACAGTAGACTCTACGAGACACAACAAGAAATGAGGTCCAGTGCACTGCCAACAGGCATCAAACACTGCGTGACAAATGGGGCGGACTCCGTGCCAGCCCACCGTTGTGTCGGATTGAGGAACTTGACAAGTGATCCATACTGATTGACATGATCCTGGCTATTCTGAAGCACAGTAACATAACGTCCCTTCATAATCCGTCAACTTTCCGACCGACGAGCGACGATTGTCCTCCTTATGAAGACACGGTCATGGGAAAACTGAAAACAAGTCAGGGAGAGGAAACGAGTTTTGCCTCCAGGGAAACTCCAGACAAACAAGGGTTTCGGAGGATTGTAAGGCAGTGAACGTTAAAGCAACAAAAATAAGTCAAGTTTCTTTGCTCGCCATGGTAACTAAACCAACCAAATCATCGAACACTGTGGATGGAAAAGCCAGGGCTAACCTCAAAAGATCTGTTAGAAAACACGATAGGAGTTAACCGTTATTCTTGGAGGGAACGCTGCGTTCCACTTCATCACAAGGCCGATTCATCTGGAAAGGGACTTAAACGATCCGTTTATGGGAGAAGACACGACAACTCTTCGAATAGTACATAGTAACAGGGCAATGACAGTGAAAGTTCCTATACCGAAGCCAGTACGTCAGGCAAAAATTTTGATCCCACGTCGCCAACGTTGGATGGAAATCCGTCTTAAGGCGGTCCGCCATCATCCATCTGGAGAACCACGGGCGCAACATATCGTCCTAGCGCGGGTGGGGTAGTAAAGAGCCCGTCAATAAATCTTAAGAAAAATATATTATCATAAGGGGTGCCCCAGTGTCCACGTCCTGCATTTCAAAAAGGGGTGTCACATGGTCTAGATCTTCTTCATGAATACTCCAGTGCCGTTCTAAAGCATGCGGAGATATTCACCGTGAAAAAGTCTTCCGACTAGGAAACACTGACCTTGTCCGTGACCTGCAAACACCTCTAATGTCCCTGAAAGTTATTTAAGAAAACGAAGTCCAGGCAGCGCTTCTGTTAGAAGGAAGATTAGTCATACGTAGCTCGCTCAAAGGATAGTTTTTTTTTTCAGCCGGACAACGAATCAAGGGAAAGGCAGAAAAAAAGTGAACTGAGAACAGAATTGAGAAAGAGAATTGGCAGAGGAGAGAATGGACTAAAAGTCAAAAAATGACCAAATAATCCAGAACAAGGGTTTATTCCTGTGGTCAAAACCTGTTACAATGAAGGCTGGGCCTCTCGGACGGAACAAGCATTGATCTTTGGTCTACAAATTGACAAAGTCTCTTCAATAAACTCGAAGAACTAAGCCATTTAGTTGATAAAATTAAGTTAGACATTGTGGCTTTCACCGAAACGTGACTTCTTGACAATATCGCAAATAGAGAAATATTACTTAGAAGGCATAAGCAATTCAGGAGAACAAGACCGAGCCGAGGAGGGGGCGTTATAATTTATGCCACTTGCAAGCTGACCGCTATGGCAGAGGTACAAAGTTCGTTACGCGATGTAGAACTGTTAAGTATCACATATCTAATAGGCGTATCCAACTGCTGAATCTTTCGGTGGTGTATCATCGCTTAGCCGGACTTTTCACCAAGATTTCATTCTCATAACCGAATTGTATAAAGCCAATGAGAAGAAAGATCCCCTTATCGTTGGGAATTTTAATGCTCCTGCCATTTATTGGCAGAGATGGACAGCGCAAGGGCCACAAGACAACAACTACTACTACAGCTACAACAACGACTACAATGGGCAACGGACAATCGTATCTTCCAGAACGTTGCCTTTAGGACGCGGGTCAGGAAGGACAGCAGTCGAACTGCCTTGATCTTATTTTTACCCGAGAGGAGGAAAGTGTGTCAGATCTGCAGGTTCGAGTGACCACGTTATGTTGTAATTCAAGTGCCCAATTTTTCAAAACCAGTTCTGCCTGATAGGTGGGAGAGCAACATCTGGAAAAGGGACTATTTTCTCATGCAGAGAGAAGCGGCAGCAATATCACGGTGGAGAAAACGACAAGTGGAGTACTTTCAATTCTTTTCGGGAAGATATTGTTTACCCAAATGTCCTCTCGAAAGAAAGACAATTTCAAAAAGCCTTAAGTGGGTAAACTCGAACTTACAGGCCTCTTTCAAAAGAAAAATTGCCTTTAGTGACATTACAGCCTAGCTTGCCCTGAAAAACACCTACGGGAATATAAGCAGCAACGCAGCGTTTGTAAAGGTGAGGCTTCCAGGCTGCGAAGGGAATTGGAACTGAAAATACCGCAAAATTCGTTAGCACAACCGAAGATCTTATATAGGTATATGCGAATTACTAAAAGAGCTTAGTCTGCAGGTAGAAAACTGTATACTGGTGACAAGGTTAAAGTGTCCTTCCTTTCTAATTTCTTTCAGTCCGTCTTCACCTGAGAGCCTAGTTGTATATTTGCCCATCCATCCGTTCGCCAACCAACGCCTCCTACTATCCATCCCCCGCTTACCCCTCCCTACTCTCCTTAATCGAGGAACTACACTTTTCATCGGCTAAAGTTAGGATTGAACTATTCCGAATGAGGGCTGCCAAATCGCCTGGCCCGAATAGAGTTCCCACACTAGCACTACGAGAACTTGCTAATGAACTATTAGAACCCTTATCCGCAATATTTAAAAAGTCATTTGAAGAAGGCGAGATCCCGAAGGAAATAAAGTGCGCACTCATCCCTCCGATCCATAGAGGAGGCTCACGACCAGTCTGCGGAAATTATCGTTCCGTTAGTCTTACTTGCATCGCGTGTAAAATAATCGAACGCATTATCAGAAGGCACTTGATTCAATAGCTGGAGAAAACAAAATATTGTGGGATGCTCAACATGGTCTTCGTCTAGAGCGCTCGTGCCTAACGAGTGTTCTTTACTCGCACGAGGAATGGACAAGAGCTGCCGATAAGTGTTATCCAACGAACGTCATATTTTTGACTTTTGGAAGACCTTTGACAGTGTCCCACACAAGCTTCTTTCACAGAAGATCTGGAATGTAGGAACTCGAGGTAGAATGTTTAAGTGGATCAGGAGTTTTCTGTCCTCCAGAGCGCAAAGAGTCGTCGTTCGTAAGTCTACCTCGGAGTAGGCAAAGGTGGAGAGTGGCGTCCAACAGGGTTCTGTTTTAGGCCTCCAATTCTTCCTGCTTTATGTAAATAGTTGCATCAGCGAACTAAATTGTGAGGCTCTTATGTTCGCGGATGAAATAAAAATATGGAAGGAATTCAGGTACGATGATGACGCAAAGAAATTTCAATCGAACATCGACAAACTGAGTGTTCGATCGAAGAGATGGCTTTTGAAGTTTAACGTGTCCAAATGTTGGGTCTTGCACCTCAACACCGGCCGCAATGCCTCTCCCAAACACCAGTACTATATTGACGGGACGGCGTTAGAAACTGTAGAAAGACGCATCGATCTGGGTGTATGGATGGCCGCAAATCTAATGCCATCAGGACACTGTAGAAAGATGGCTCATAAGTCAACCAGTCCTTTATACTGGATCAGATGTGCTTTTAAAATATTCCCTCCTGGACGCTTTGGAAGGCTATTTGGCGTCTTTGTGAGACCCTACCTGTAATATGGAATGTCAGCAGCCATACCATGAATGAAGAAGGATACTGACCTACTCGATCAAGTACAAAGCAGAACAACGAAGATGACCTAAAGCATTTGTCGTACCAGGAGAGGCTTAATGCGCTTGGTTTATTTCCTCTGTCCTGTGGGTAACTTAAATGCTGTCTACTATGGACATTCTGGATTGTCCGCGTCCAGGGTTATTCACTGAGAACGGAAGACTTTTGAGTTTACCAGCACCAGCAAATTGCGCGGTCATCCTTACAAATTCAAGAGTGAACACACGAGACTAGACCGAAGGAAATTCTCCTTTAGCCAGCGGGTTGTCCGACCATGAAACTCGCTATCAAGCGAGAATGTGATGGCTACTACAATTTGTATGTTTAAGGGGAAAATTGCTCGGGTAATTTTCGACAAAGGCCGACTTTTACTACATGACTACATACCGCCAGTTTTTTAGAACAATTTGTCATAATCAATCTTTCCGTACTGGCTCGCAGTGAACACGTACGCATCCTTATTAATAATGTGGTATTGTGAACCGAACGCACTTCAAATGTTTGCAACTTTATTTTGAGTGCGAATGTGCGGAATTATTGTACATTAACAAGGTCACCAGGGGTTCGGCTTCTAACTCTTTAAATATAAACTCGTGCAAAGTACGGAGGTAAGAGCTGTGTTTATAGAGGAGTTCGGGTGATAGATGAGAAAGAAGGCACTTTCCAGCTTTCTGCCCTATAGGAACTTAGCATTTAATATCTAGCATTCGTCCCATATAATAAACACTCACTTGCGTGACAAACAGAATAATCCCGAATTGGGGCTGTTTGCCGGGCCCAAAACACCCGAGACAAAATCTTGAGGAAAAGGCATCCATCAGCCCTTCTGAGTACGGCCAAATTGACAACGACATAGCAACAATGTAGGGTAGTATTTAAGACACTTAATTAACTCTCTTGTTGAAAGATATACTTAAAACAGCCGAAAAGTCCTTGCTAACTCATGATCGTCCAAAGAGCGCGACAAAACTAAGGTTGAAGAGGCTATGGTACAGCCCGAGGGATCGTTTGCCCTAAATGCTTCGTAAAATTGGATAATAATACCGCAATCTTTGCATTACACGTAGCATCAGTAGATGTCACGCTGTATTAACAAAAGTATAAGTAAACTACTTATGGCGTCTGGTTTTTGGGTGACCGAGACCGTGTGAACCACCTTTTGAACCTGAAATCGTCGAAATCTCATTTTGGCCCTTTACAGATCAGGTGTTAACTACTTCAAATCCCGTATCAGGAACATTGAACCCCAAAACACAGCAATGGAGAACTTGGCCTACAGTGGGAGTACGATTACGATAACCATTAGAATTGTCGATGAAATTGCAAATCGAACCTCCAGGGCTAGCCAAGCTTCTGACCGGTGACGCTGGTTCAGTTTAGAATTGCTGTGGACTCTAAACCAATGCGCAACCCAAGATTTACTGAATTGCCATCCTAACAACGAGAGCTTCCTAAGCAGCAACTTCACGGCGAAGGCCACACACGTGCACGTCAAAAGGCACGGCTGAGGTCACGCTACAATGGCACACAACGTTTCTCCAGAAATCAGGGAATCAGTTCGGACGCCTTAAAGGCTTCTCATCAGAATAGAACGCCATATAGAAGAGAATTCAAAAGCGAAACAGCAATCTACAAAGCCGAAAGAACGCAAACAGTTTCAACAGCTAACCAGTTCTCCTTTTACACACGAATCGGACACATAGGATGCCGTCGGAGCCAATACACTACCAACGAGACACCTTCACCGCTCGTCGTTAAACTCTCTCCAACTGCACACCAACTGCCGCAATTTCCACGACGTCAGCGACGAAAACCAACGCCAATGGCTAACAAGCAACAGGGGCGAGGCCGCCCCCAACATATTTGACTGACAATGACTGGCATTTCGACCGGCGTTGCCCACAATATTCACGATTTTTCTCAATGCATGGTGGGTGTAACGGCGGAGACTTACGCGTGGATTAGTTTGCAGCGATAGTAGACTTGCGCAACATCCACCGCATTCTCTTCTCCTTCGCCTCCTTAAACCCGGTATTAAGACAAACTCAAGCAGCTTGGAAGATAACTTTCTCTCGCGTCTGATTTCCGCCATTGTTTTTGTGAGCACTGCGTTAGTCTAAAGAGACGGTAAACTAGTCCATTACGGAAAGAAGCTTCCTCAACCACAATTTTCCTTTTATTGAAGAGGCCGCATTCGCCTGCTTTGTACTCACATTGGCAATTCGTCATCGAAATGCTGCTCACCTCATCTTAGGTGTTCTCGATCGTCACCTACAGCATACTGAGTAAAGCAAGTTCATGATCGTTCGCAGAACAGAGCCCACGTGTTCTTGCATGCTCTTTAAGCGAAATCGCATCAACTGTTTCCAGCTTTTTATGCAATGTGTACGGTCAACTTCTTGGCGTAAAACTACGAACTTGGAGGAATTAACGCTAAGAAAGCACTTGGTAGACAAGGAAGCCAGTTTTTTGGTGTTTTCTTTCGGCTTCTGTGAATCGTCGGCGATTTTTCTTTTTTCTCATCACTTACAAGCACGGTGTACTTTTAACCGTCGTCCTTCGTTAAGTCTTTGATAATGATCAATAAAAAAAAGGGACTAATTACACAATATTTCAACGAGCGTCAGAGCATCAGGGACCACATACTTCTACCTCTGCCTACCATATAGTTGAGAGTCTCAGTAGGCATTCGGTTGCTGAAAATGTTCAATCATTCAATAATATACTGAATAAGCAGTAAATGAAGACGAGCTGCTAAGGTGAATAAATCGACGCACGTTTCTATTTAAGATCAGTCCGTAGTTGGACCGGTGTCTCGTAAGGCAATTTTATAATAACTGAATTGCTGTGACAGTTTACCGGATACAAGTCTACCAATTCATGTCAATATATTCGTAGTGGATCGAGGCGTTGACATTTCCACCCAAAGCCCCTTCCTGACTCATCTAGTAACATGCGGGCCCGGAGGCCAGGAGGGGTCATAAAAAGATTCGGATGGAGAAGAGGATGGAAATTCCTAAGTATCACGCATAGAGCGCGGAATCATTCTTATTGCATACAGTGCGGACTATACAAAGATCCTCGTAAATATGCTCATCGGTGCTGGTTCGACTTATAATTCTACTATTTTTCAAAAAAGCAATTTCTTGTTGTGGGGATCATAAACTTAGTCGCGTATGTCAGGAAAAACAGCTTTTGGGCGATAAAACCTTAAAAAATACCACTGCAGACAATATTTCATGTGAGACGGTATCGCAGGCGTGCCATATATAACGAGCGTTTGCGCAAATATGAGACGGATCCACGTCATGACCTTATCGCCTAAGTCCTAGAAGCGCAGTTTTGCATTAGGTACCCAACAGAATTTTCTCAAAGGATTTGTTAAGATCCATGAAGCCGATCTACAGAATTCAAAAAGTATCAACTCTCATTTTGAAAGGGGAATCCACTACCAAGTATTCAACTGGACTAGATCTTTAGAGTTCATATTTATCATTGTGGGGAAGAAGCCTGTCTTAGACTGCATTATCCATGATTTTACAGCGTTCAAAACCCAGCCAGTGTGTTGGAGAAGAGAAACTTCCGTATGTCCAGCCTAGCCTCAGCTCTGCCTTATCGATCTAAACAAAAGTAGTCATGACGTCCTCACAAAAGAATGAGAGTCATCATTCCAGATCTAATTTCCTAGGCGGCTCCACATGTTTGTAGATTAAGTCAAGAGTTCCTCCTTTTTTACAAAGCTTTGGAGCAGGTGACGTACTTTTATGCTTTCCTGCGTCATTCTATGCAAAACGGGTTTTACATTTTTTCGATTCATTCACTGGTCTATGTAAACAATCAAAAATGTTCAATGGGCTTTAAAGTATTGCATTTCTTATCCGGCAATTTATTTAAAGAGTAGTTCTTCCTCGTTTTCGTGCGAGATTATATCATTTGGTTGCTTGGACACCGCATATGCTTGCTAAACCGACTCACTTTCCCTTTGGTATGTCTGCACCCCGAAACCTATCCTTTAAAATTTCGGTTTCATGTCGGATGCCTTAGAGCTTATCATTTTGTGTTCGAAAGTCATTAATAATGACGCAAAGTACTGTATTACTGTGGAGTTGCAGATGTGATCCTTAACTTACTTAAAATGTCCTTAACTTATAATATCCTCGGGAGGTCCTATCTCTTGAGAAACATGGACACCCTGTTAACTGAGCCGAAACGCCCGCGCACTTTGGCCAGAGGTTTGTGTACTTGCGTTGCTAGCCCCGCTGTGCAAATAACCAGCTGACTCTTAATGCCAAATCGCGTTTTGATTTCCTCGTTTACTCACAGGTTCTTAAGTATGTTGCAAGCCCTCCACTGACTGAGAAAATCTTAAGTTAGGCAGCAGTTGTGGCTCTTTGGGAGTTAGTCGTATGGAGACGTTTATTTATTTAGTATTTTGAACAACAGATGAAACGGTTCCTTTGCTCTAGACGCGAAGCTTCATGAAAGTGAGAACACTTCGGCCACGCGACTGTTCTTAGGAATTGCTTGTTAAAGTTATATACATATGTCCATCAGATGTTCAATTGAAATCTCTATTACGTTAAATTGACACTGTCGTTTACTTGACTTAAATAAGGCAAATCTGTCTTATGCTGTAGCTCTCTGTTTACGTAATATACTTGTGTTTATATGTACGATGTTTACACAACCTGCAATTGTTTATATAACATGCACTGGTCTGTACAACTGTTTAGTTCACCCTGTAATTCCAGGTCACCCACCTTGATGTCCAAATTACGGCAAATATTTGAGTAAAATGCCCCCAAAATATCACTATTTTCCTTACCCTCAGTTACGAGGATTTTCAACTATCCGCTCTGTGAAAGTATGCGCGTATGTTCCGTAATGTTTTTGTCGCTGTCATAGATTTATTATTATTCTAACCTGCCTTTCCCCACTCTCGAACCAACTTTCAGTCTTGTATCCATTTTGGCGCGTTTATGCTTCTGAAATTTCGATTCGAGGGCAAAACCGTCGAACTTGATGTTAGCGAAAATTGGAATATTCTCTTTCTCAAGCAACGCGTCTGCATGGAACTTGAAATAGATTCACAAGCGTGCTTTCTCACCTTCAATGGTACTCAACTAGATGAATGGGACAAGGTATCTATCCATAAAATCCAAGACGGCGACATTTTAGACGTTTGTGCTCACGGAGCTTTCCGACACTTCTACGTTTTGTGTTACGTTTGCGATACTGTGGTTCCAGCTGAAATCACAATACACTGCGACGTATGCAAGGGTATTGACTTTTTCGCCCGACCCACGGCCGTACTGTCAAATCGCTCCGTGGTTTCGGGGATGTGTCGCACTCCGGCTTGTAATGGTTCGCAAGCCACTGTTTCAATGGCTTGTTCACACAATCAGTCTCACCAACCGACCATCTATTTAAACCAGATAACAGCAAATATCGAAAAATCGACTTGTGTTGCTTGTTGTTCCAATGAATGTGATATTATAATATCCTTTTGCCCATCAAAGGGTCACATTTTGTGCCTTGATTGCTTCCGCTCTTACGCTGAGAACTATTTGGACACTCGAAACTTTAAGTTGATTCCCCATCTTGGCTACACTCTTGGCTGTCCCGTCGGCTGTCCCGATGTGTACATCTCCGACACTCACCACTTTCGCATTCTCGGCAGTCAGTTTTATTCGCGATATAAGGAGATCGCTGCGCACCAGATTTGCTATACAGACGCATTTTGTAACTGTCCTCGGTGCGATACTTGTTGGGAAATACCTTCAGATCCAGGATCCTTTCATTGGGTCTTCTGCGAAGGTCCCTTCGGTTGTGGTGCTGAGTTCTGCACACGCTGCCGAAACCTCGTTCTTCGTCGATCTGCTAATACTGGTGATAACTCCAAATTGAGCTGTTTTTGTGACGCCCTTGAAGGGGAAGCAGAGGCCGTCGACGCCCAACCATCCGAGACAGAGAGTGGCATCTGGAAGGGCGTCAAACTAGGACCCCTCGAAATTGCAAGTCGATGTTTAATATCAAGCACTTGCAGACGCTGTCCTGTATGCAAAAGTACTACAAACAAGGATGGTGGTTGCAACCACATACACTGCACCGTTTGTGGTTCCGAGTGGTGTTGGATCTGCTTAAAGACTTGGTCCGCTAACTGCCAATCCGCCCATTGGTTCTAAATGTGACTTGCGGTTTCCCTCATTGATTCCCCTTTTATGATTATTTGACTACTTTCAGTACCGCCTATTTTTCTGAGAATAAATAGTGAAATTAAAAGCATGATCTTCTGTTAGGCAGATTCAGATGTTTCGATGCATGCGCTCGAAATCCCGTTTTGTGCTTTACCTTTAGAGGGTATTGACAGAGTACTTACGTTATGTTGATTGGACAATCAATATCTTCATATCAATTTTATTATGCTTCTACAGGACGTTTTACCGCGGTCAGTTTTAAAATAAAGAACTCATTGCAATCAGCAAAATTTAAGTTTACCCGTCTATCTCATGTCCATGTGTTTGAATGTTCGAGATCTCTTTTGACATAATTGGCATAGGTTACGTGCAAAATCAGTCAAAGTATACGAAATCCGGAAGTTAATTCGGATTCTTGTTGTGTGCAACGTTTAGATTGATGATATTAGTCTTACGTACGAGACGCCGCATACGTCAGAATAACCTTCTTGTCTAGAATGAAAATCTCCCCTTATTCCGTAAGCACCTATAGCTATGGACGCCATGCAGTCCCCTCAAGATCCCGAAGTTTTGGTAGGCTGCTTGTTACGTGAATTTTATGTCCATGTTTCCTTTAGGCCTGCTCATTAGCGCCCTCCAGAAAGACCAAAATAACGAAGATAATGACTTCATAAACATCGTGTTAGCAGGTGATTTCAAACCTGTTTACCACTCTCATAACCACCTACAGAGTTTTAAGGACTGTACCGTTATAATAGGAAACGGTAAAAGGGACTTGAGTACTTCACTGTTGGTAGATTTGCCTTTTTCGTGACGGATCGTTCTGACATCACCTATTTTCAAGCTACATTGAGTTATTGTTACGAAATTGCGGCTTTTACGACCAAAGCTAGAGGATGTAACTGCTTGGCAATCCGTTTCATAAAAGGAGAATCCTTTATGCGTAGAACGCAATGTGCGTTTGTGTGCCTAAGGCTTTTACTACCGTAGATCTTAGCAAAGTTCCCCCAGATGACTCACTTGTTCGTACAGTGATTCCACTTCTTTTCATTGCACAAAAGCCTGGCGGCATTTAGTTCGGCATGCCACTTATCCATTTCTGTTAACATACCAGTAAAACGAGCGCTCGCAGCCGGTTATATTGCGGTAAGCAATAAATAGTTCCTTTTGGGCCTTACCGACTCAGTCATGAGTATAGTTGACTGATGGACTTACCACTCTGAGTTTTTCCTCACACCCCGATTCCAGTCAGGTCTGCATTACATTTGGCGCATTCCTGATTACGCTTTGCAAGACCGCGATCATGCCTGATCTGACCGATCTCAATGGCGCTGCGAACTGTACCTCTCCATATGTAACTATCTGAGGCAGTAGATCTGGGCCGGCGACGAAGAACGTACTCATGTCACCTGTGTTATTTACTAGGACTCGAGCAGTGTTAGAACGATAGTTAGCCTTGATCACACCAGGTTTTCGCTATAATACCGCCTAATTTCATTATCCACCACAAGGACTTGCGAACGGAATCAAGCACTGCAAATAATTCTCAAAGACAGAGGACCATCTGCTATTGGTAGTCGGGGAGGGGTCCGGGAATACGATGCAGTGAAAATGTATGGTCACCAACTCCGCGTAAAAGTCGGAACTACGGTTTCTTTGCTTACATCCTCCAGTCACGCTCAATTCCCGACTGCTTTAGAATAATAATGGCGACTGCGGTATCAGCAGTGTTGGTGAGACTTTTACTACCGTAGTTCCCGCACCTTTGTCTTGAATCCTATCTTTCCATGCTTTCCCAACCGGCTTACGGATTCGGTTCGTCGGTATGTCCACGCGTAGACTTATAAACTTAATCGAGATGTTATCCCCTCCGGACCCCCTATGTTGGTGCAGCTTCATCATGGTGTCGACGATTTATTCCTGGAAGGGAGAATCACGACGCCTTATAGGTAAGAAATGGACGCAGTTCTGTTGTAAGACAAAAATACGGGGCAATGGTTGGTTTGGGAAGTTTAAAGGGCGGTCGAGTCGCTCATGGTAAAGGCCGGTCCTTGTTTTCCAGTATTGCTTGTCTCACCCGAGGTATTGCAGCCCTCGTCAGCAATCATCAGGTCACGATGAGAGAATCTTCAAACAACTTCTTCAGCAGTGAGTGGGCTTATAGCTTGGCTAAGACTTGCTAGGAATAAGTAGATAGACTACAAGGATGTTGATAGTGTACATGCGCTAGCCTGTCGCTGAGTGGTTTCAACGCAAAGGAGGCATCGTCCATCTGTTTTTGGTGAACGACTCACTCTGTGTCTGTCACAGTAACCGTATGAGAAGCTCTGATAGAGAGCGAAGTAGATATTGCTGCTCTGGCTCGAAAACTCGGACTCCAAATGGGCACAAAACATCCGTTGTACCGTTTAAGACTGCACACCGGCAGATTTTGGTTATGAGCGTCAAAGAGCGTTGGCACATTCCAGCATCTAATAACAAGAGTCTATTCTCGATCGTGTAGTTGAGTTTGCGCACTACTCTTCCACGCCACCGGACCAGGGCGTCAGACCTCGTCAGTTCTTTCGGCGTCTTAACGTGAGTCGTAGTACTTGGACCGGACATTTTTCATGAGATTTATTGAGTGTTTTGAATATAGGTGGGTCCCCAGTAGCCGCTCGGACTTGATATTCGAGGTTGTCCCCTCTGGGCTATAAGTTCGAAAATCCGATAACGTGCTCATTTCGCAGCTTGCCTTTACAAAGGGCCTTTCCGATATTGGCTTCCCTTGAACGCACCGAGTAGCCAGCTAATGGACGCTTCCGTCCTAAGTAAAGTCGCTCTTGTCCCAGCGATCGTGTCTTCTTCTTCACAAGGTCGTCTTCTCCGAATTTGACCACTTCACTTGGTTGTAGATTCAGTGTGGGATCCACAAGACTATAGCAGTAGAAACTATTGTGGTAGCCCAGCGTTCATTAGAGTAGTCTTGGCTCTATATCGCTAAGTTGATCTTATTTTGGATAAGCATGCACTCAGATGTGGTTTACACCTTCAACTAATGTTAATCACCTTTCTTCGCATGCTTAATTTTGATTTACATTGTCTACGCAACTTAAAATATGTTCTTCTTTTCTTCTAGGTGTTCCCCATAAGCGCAGTATTTGATTATTCGTGATGTCAGCCGGGGCTGTTCGCGCTCCACTCATCCTACCCCTCAGACTGCCTTTTTGTGGCAAGACGAAGAATCAGATCGATACCGGCACTCAAATTGACATATCTTCGAACACTCCGGGCGTCCAGCTCTACTTCACCATCGATGGCAGTCGTCCGAATCCTGCCGCGTACAAACCCCGCCGTCGTGGTGGTCCCACCTACCTCTTTCGCAATCCTTTCACTCTGCCAGCTGGTGCGAGAACAGTCAAGGCTGTGGCTGTTCTACCGTAAGAAGGCGTCTTCGTTTTTTATCACTCCCATTTGCCCGTTTTGCTGTTGCCGACATGGTTCTAGACTACTGGCCAAACCAGAAACTTGCTTGTTCCACATCCAAACCCATGGTCATACCATTGATGCTTGCGATGTACTGGCCTGCACCCACCCCTATCACCGGCGCACTTCCATACTCCATCGAAATGTCACAGACTTGCTAAGAAAGCTTCATAAAGCGATATAGGCGTTCATGGCATTTTCCTCTCCGATTTACTGAATGAACAGTTTCTGGTAGTTCAAATAACTTGCGGACTTCTCAGTGACTTTTAAAACTACGTACTGGGCTTTTGTCTTACGAGTTGATACTCTACTTGGCTTTTTCCTCGAGGCCTGGCATCTCACTTACGCGGTCTGGTGGCACAGATGCGAAATTCGGGATAGGATAATTTTTAAGACACTCAATGCGTGCATCCAGGGGAGTTGCTCGCCTTGACATCAACCGGCGCATAGTGATCACTGATTTTGTGGGCAATTCCAGTGTCCTCACTGACTGTCGTACCTTTAAGTGCAAACTCTCCTTTCTTGTGGATTAGCCAGCCAGGTTGGTGTTATGACTAAAAAAATTTAACGGCTTTAAGCTTGGATGAAAATGCAGATTATTGTCGACTCAACCTTTCTTGTACTTACTTGTACTTGCTATGGCTGCGATCATGCCTGATCTAGTCGGCCTCGATGATGTCACGAACTGCACCTCTCCACGCGTGACGATCCGCGGCAGCAGATCTAGACAGCTCAACCCATTCTCTTCGCCAACGACGGAGACCGAATACCGAAGGGCCAAGAACCACCTTCATGTCTTGACGAACTGTGTCGAACCAGGTTTCGAACTGACCCCCTCTTCGACGCCTCCAATGGGACAACGGTGCCGGATCGAGGGCAGTAACACTGAGTTCCTGAGGTGGGCGACGAAGAGCATGCCCAAACCACCTCAGTCGTCTTTCATGGATGGCCTGAGTTATCCTTGCCATGGTGTCGCGGCGAGCGCGGACTGTCTCATCTGAGGCGAAGTCGGTGAACTTCACTCGAAGGATTGTCCTCAAGCAGTGGTGATCAAGTACCTCCAGTTTTCGCTCGTCCTCCACACGCAAAGCCCAGCATTCACAGCCGTAGAGAAGGACAAACCAGACAGATGCACGGTACACGCGAAAGTTAGTGGTGATGGAGAGGTCGCGTCGGATCCATAGACATTTTCGAAGGCTTGAGAAAACCCAGCGGGCAGCGTCGATTCGGGAGACAATGTCGTTCTTACTCTGTCCATTAGACTGCAGCCTTGCCCCGAGGTATTTAAAACTGCCTACTTCTTCAAGTTAACAACCATCAATCCCGAGGGTTGCCTTCTCCTGGCGAGGGATGCAGCTTGAAAACACTTTAGTCTTTTCAGCGTTTATGGATAAACCGACCGATTTAGCGACCTCGTTTACCCGTGACACCATGGACTGCAGATCACCAAAACTTGAAGCAAGCAAGACGATATCATCGGCATAGTGGAGATCAGTCAGTCGGTGTCCGGGTGCAAACTGAACACCGTCACCTTCGTGTAGGACCCTCCCGAGGATCCAGTCAATATCATAGTTGAACAGTATTGGCGACATGATACAGCCTTGTCGAACGCCAGACCGTATATCGGACGGTTGGGAAAGATCGTTGCGGACCAGGACCCTCGCAGTAGTGGAGCGATAATAGGCCTTGGTCATGGCGATGATTTTTGCTGGTACACCATCTAGCGCCATTATCCACTACAGGGACTCACGGTGGACGAAATCAAACGCGGCGACAACGTCAATGAAGCAGACGGCCGTGGGTTGTTGGTGGCTGCGGCGACATTCGAGAATGCGCCCCAGTGTGAATATCTGGTCCGCGCATCCACGTCCAGCACGAAATCCGGCTTGGTTGGGCCTCGTCCTTGAGTCACACACAGCCTGGAATCGCCTGAGTAGGACAATAGCGAAGGTCTTCGTAGCAACGCGGATGAAGCTTATGCCGCGGTAGTTCCCTCGAGATCTACGCAGCTAAGCACTCCCGGAATCTCCCTGTCATTTGACCACCACAGAGCTAACTTTGTTCACAGTGGATTTATCCAATTGTGAGGATAATTTGGCTCCAGAAGCGATGCCATGCTGGCTCAAAAATGGTATTTTCTGAGGTTCGTGCCAGATCGCTTCGTACTAAGAGATATGACACTTCAATTGCACGAGTCAATGACCCACGACGCTCCCAAACGACAGCATCGGTCTTCCTTTAGGCTTCAGACAGGATTTCTACGAACCGGGTGAAAACAGTGCCCAATTTGGCTCATTATAGTAGATTCCAGTTGGTCGGTCGACACAGCTGACTGGCGTCTGGGAGAGAGGAGCGAGAATGGTGTCGACTGTCTCAGCGCATATTCCGTAATAGGTATAGGAATAGGTATCGGCGGTTGAAGTCCGTCTCATAGCAGGCGTTTTCTACCGAGGTCATCTATTTTGAAAGAATAATAGAGGCGATCATCGGAGCCGTGTCAGTAATATTACAGGCCAATCGCATTTTCACAGTTTTCAGGGCAATATTTCAAATTTCCAGTCGACTTACATGATTTATAGATGTTTTGGCAGATTTTGAATAATTCATATTGACCCAACTATGAAAAACTCGGCGCCTCGGTGGGATTCGAACCCACGCAGTAAGGGGGAAGGCTTTAGTACAGTCAACGCTCTAGGAATTACGTAAGCCTGGTAGTCATCAGGTGGATCCTAGGCGAATTACTTAGGAAATCCTGCCTGGGCAGTCAACTTACTGTATCAGATTTGGTGGATTCCAGACGTTGCAGTAGGCTGGGCGGGTAGCTTGACCCAAATGTGATTAAACTCTCGTCGTCGGGCGGGGCCTCGTAGCTCAAGTGGTTAGAGCGTTGGCTGTACTAAAGCGTTCCCCCTTATTGCGTAGGTTCGAATCCCACCGAGGCGCCGAGTTTTTCACAGTTGGGTCAATATGAATTACATGATTTAGTCTTCTCCACTCTATATTTAAAAGAGCAACTACTACGTGACTACCATTTTCTGCTTTCATTAGATATAATTCCTTCGAGTATTGCTGACCAACCTTTATCAGTAGAGTATTTGTCTCTCGCCTCCATGGAAACTGGATGTCCACTTTTATTCTCACACCAGACTCACTGTTAGGAGGGTCTCTACACCATTACTAGATCTACGGAAATGACCCACATCTGCATTTTTAGAAAGTGGAGGCGAAGAGTTCAGTCATGACTCCACTTAAAAGAACCGATTCCACACCAATAGGTCAGGGCTCCTTGTACTGCTGGCTAGTAGTAACAGCAAATGGACCTACATTGTTATCTTCCTGCTTCTATTAGTAGACGCTCTTGCGCACTCTGTTCACGATATTCAATTCCTTTCTTTCCCCAACCTAGAAGCACGATGCGAGAAAGCAACGTTGTAACGAAGACGTTCGATGTGGCACAGTCCGATGTCACGGAATCGGGTGAAAATGGTGCTTCAGAGACACGAGATGACTATGGGTTCTTGGAGGAACTGCGCTCTAGCGAGAAGAATCATTTTCTAAAGGTGCCCTCGTCTTTGTTTTTACTTCTAGTTCAGCAATGCTTGGATAGTTGGGGAATATTTCCCACCTCTCTTGAAATTACCCTATTGTTGTCTACAACCGAACTGTATCTTATGCATTGTCGCTTCGGATTTTTGCTGGTAGTGCTCGGCGCGGCTATTTACACCGAACAGTAAACGCTCAAACTACGAAGAAAATGTTCCCGGTTGCATAAAAGAGCCACGGAAGAAATTGGATCAGCTCAGTAGACGACAATGGGCATTTATCTTCGTTTTGAGCTTATATCCAATAGCTCAACCGTAGTTTCCAACGGTGTGCACCGTGTGCCCCACATCAGAGTTGTCGCAGAGACGGTGACTTACGTGTGAGTTAGTTTATAGGGATAGTGGACTTACGTCGCATCCACCGTACTATTTGCACCTCGTCCACCTGAGTCCAGTTGTAAGACAGAGTCAAGAAGACCGGAGGCGGGATCGGCTGCAGGCGGCTAGCGCGCCGTTAACCCGAACCTGGACGCGCCACCATACCCCCTCCCCCCCGGTCCTTAACGTATACTCACCAAGATTTTACACAACAAGAAAAAAATAGAGCAGCTCTGATCTCAACTGTGTGGGAGTGCCATTGCAGTCTGACATAATTCTGTGAGGAGGACTGAGTTATCCCGTCAGACGGCAGCCTTCCAATCCACAGCCTTTGGCGCACTGTGATAGACTCGAGCGCGTCAGATTCTTTATAGTCAGGAATATGCGCTCAGAGTGTCGACCTTACTCCATCTTACCTCTCCCAAGCACCCGTCCACTGCTGGAGACAGTCAGTCAAATGATGCGGAGACTGGGCGCAGAGAGCTCAAAACAACTCGTCTGCGCGCTCCACACACACACGACCTGACGCCCACGCACCAGGATCTCACAGGAAAGAGAAGGGCGACTCGGATGCATAACGGAGTCACGGAAAGAAATGTTCTACCTTGGTGGACGACGTGACTTGTCACTGTTCTGGGCAGTTATCTTCATCTTGAACTTATAATCGTCAGCTTGAACGTTGTTTCCGACAGTGTCCACCGCGTGCCCAACAGCAGTGTGGGCGCGGACACGGTGACTTGCGCAGGGTTTCGGTTATAACGATAGCAGATTTGCGCTGCATCTCTCCTCACCCACCTGGGCCCAGCCTCGAAGAAGACGGTAGACGGTATCGGACGCAGCCGGTTGATGCAGCGTGAAGTTGCGCCTAGGCTTGTCACCACGCTCCCATGTGTGGCATTTGTTGTGAATGCGCAGCCCAATAATGCGTGCCGTACCCTCGTCAGACCGTCGGGTTGGTCCGGTGCGACTTCCGCGGAGCCCGTTGTAGGGGGCACTTGAGCTTAAGTAGGCTTTCAGTGAATCACCGTCTTCAGAGTGAATGAGTAGAAAGCCTGCCTATATCGTTGTGGAAAGTTAACCGGTGGAAAAACAGACTTACCACTGCAGTAGGTTGCGCATCTCATGCAGTCGAAATTCGGAAATGTGATTTTGGTTACAAATGACTACTTCGGTGGGGTTATAATACTGGTTATCACACAGCATAATCCGAATATATTTATACCAGACTGCCGGTTTTCGAATATACGTATCTTCAGCACCCAGCAAATATCACACTTGTTAATTCGCATCTTAACGGCTTAGATTTTCACTACAAGAAAAACACGGCCTGTAGAATTTAGACTAGACGCAAATCAACAGATCGAACTCAAAATTATATGGGAATCAAGAAACGTTTTCAAACCATGAATATATCCTTTACCAAGTATGTAATTTAAAACGGACGTGGTTTGCCCCCCAAATAAGTGCACGAAATCATCTCTTTGACCGTGTTTTCTGTAAAATACGTTTGAATTTACAAGTACATCGAAAATCAGTGGAAGGAAACCAGTACTACTTGAGTACTGAGTAAGATTTTTGTGGGTGGCCGAAGAGAGGCGAATCCGAATGCCGACATCCCGGGCTGACTGAAACACCTTGGGATTAGGCTGCACGATGATTCGTAGTACAACTCCACTTAAGTAATCCCTCCTTATCGAAAACGCGTTTAGAATTTCAGTAAACATTCCAGGAGATTGGTCACTGACTTTACCATTTTATATGGATAGACATTTCTCAATCTCAAATAATCTCCTAGTTGGCCACTCTTTTGAAATCGAACGGTAGCCTTTTTCCAGTAGAAAATTTAAATATGTACCTGCTACAAAATAAGCATAAAAAGGGCGGTTTTACGTATGTTTGCTTAAAATATGTTAGGACCTATAAAGACATCGAAAATGAGTTGGGAAGCGTCACACTACTTAACTAGTCCTTTTAAGCGAGTTTGCTTTTTGCATGCGGCAGCAAAAGGGCCCGTTGGAAAGCTGACATCCTGTCGTCACTGAAATATTTTGGGATTGTGTTGCATAATGATCAGTCTTACAATTTAACCATAGTAATCCTTTCTAACCGGGATCATTTTCCAAAATATTACTTAATGCGTCACCTTTAAGTCGCCTACTGTACGTATTTTGTGCTATCATGCTGTCATTATGCTTTAACATATGATTTTACAAATACTTCCTGATCACACGTTTTTGTTTTGTCTTCGCGGTATATACTAGTGGTTTAAATTACGCCAACCAACTAGGACACGTGATTAGCAGTCGTTAAGCCTAGTCAAAGCAATATAATACTAATGGGCGAGTAACGTGGATTACAAAAAGAAATTGGTTCTTCCAGAACCCGGACCGGAAGGGGGGGCGGGGGTACGGGACGAGGCCCATCGATGTAAACGAGGAAAGCTCTTTTTGTCATTGTTTTCCCTGCTGACCAATTTAATTATCGTGCTTCTACTGGAGTCGCTTGTGCTGTCGTCAGGGCTTTCTTATGCTTCTTTCCTGGCTGTTCTCTATGTACACCAATTGTGGGCAGTAAAAGGAAGCAGGTCTTCGAAGTATAAACGTTGTCCTTTCTCTTCTATAGGTACACGAAACCGGGCCATTGCACTCGACCGAGCGGCCTACACACCGTACAGGACTCACAAGTGGTCTTCCGCCACCCATTCTGAAGCACAACTTCAAAGGCGGTAAGCGTGAATAATTTGTAATCTAGTTGGAATAAACAATTGGATGGCAGTAGCCTCCCTATGGTACACGACGCGTTATTTTGTTCTACTGAGCTGGGACTCTCCCACTTCCAGCCTCAATTACACATGCGACCTTTATCATAATCACTCTTTTTTGTAAAAGCCCAGGTGCTCATCGCGCCCTTAGATGCCAGCCACTGTCCGCCTGAAGGTCGGCATTTCTGACGCCACGGTGTTCTGTGCGCTGTCACGCATCCAATGGGCCAGCAGTTTAGAGGCTATTTTTAGGTACACGAATCTCAGTCTCTGCATTGTCTCAGGTTGGTGGTGAGTAGTGGACGGCCTTCCGGCAAATTTAACTGCCAAACTTACAGGCTGCTGAGTCTGACAAATCAGTAGTCGTGAACTGTTAACGCTGGTGTTTCAAGAGCTCGGGGTGTGCGGTCATGCGCACCAACTGCCTCGCAAAATGTCGAAATATCCAATTACGGCAAGTAGTCTTGAAGACGGAGACACGATCGCTGGGACAAGAGCTGTATTAGCCTGACGTTTTGGATTCCTGCTCGATCTGGTGCAGTTGCGGACTCGGCAACTGCGTCGGAGAAACCGGAAGACAGCTCCGAACGAGAATGGCCGAACACGCTGCAGCGGTGCGGAGAAATGACGCCAGCTCTCAAGTTGCGGCTCAATCGACGAGATCCGGCCACACATTCAAATTCGACGAGGCCGAAATTCTCACAAGAGGTGACAACCGCGTGAGCCGGGAGCTACTTGAGTCATGGTTTACTGGCTCCCAGTCCATTAAAAAGTGCAGTAACCTTCCCCTTCCACACTCGGTGCTGACACTTCGCCTAGGCGGAGTAATTAGCCACGCGGTGAACGCATAAGTGAACACTTTTCCCAACGCCAGGGTCGGTGGGCTAAATGGTCGAGCAATCATCACACCAACATCCAACTTACGTGATGAAATTGCAGTAATTAACGACGCGAATGTCGGCCATCGAGCAGTCATCACACCAAGTGCAACGATCCCTAATGAAGGGGGGGGGGGGAAGTCGTGAATATTAATAGGTATGCGGTAGCATGGCGACTGCATCCTATGAATACTGCAGCCCCTTGTGCATGAACCAGCCGTATCTGCTTTTGTCTCTGATGATGGGTTCGAGCAGGAATCCGAAACGTCTGGCTAATAAAGCTCTTGTCCCAGCGATCGTGTTTCCCTCTTCAAGACTACTTTCTGGGACCCGTCTCTTCGCTTCTACTGCAAGTAGGTACGCCGATCACGAACCGCAATTAGCAAAGCACTCTTGGCAGCGGTGGTCGTCCTGGTGGGTTCCAATGAGGCAAAGTGCTAGAACAGCCAAACTACGGCGAACTATACGGATGGTTTTGCTTACGATTTGCGCGGTAGGCTCCAGAGTGTGCATGTAAGCAACATCTGGATGGCATAATGCAATGCAGACTGCGGCAACGGCGGGCTCCGAAGCGCCCAAAAACCCTGAATCAGGTCTACTGACTGACTGCCTCCGTGGGCTCCAGGTTGAGCCTCGCAGGCACAACGGGACGAATGTGCCCCGTAGTCCGATTGGTGGACTCAATTCCAGTATATTTAGTATACCCGATCGGAAAAGCCAGGCCAGTGGACCTCTGGGTCAATGGTAAAGCATACGACTCAAGAACCAAATATCTCAAGTTGGGATCCAAGGTGTATCAAAAACCTGGGTTTGATTATGACTGACTGATGACAACTGATGAGCCAGAAATAGCCATTCCAGTCTCTCCTCAGTCGATACTCCTTTTTGCATATATTCACTATCGCTATATGACTGCCTTCACGGACTGTAGTAGACTGAGCCTCAAGGCCCAACGGGACGAGCATATCCCGTAAGCCGATCAGTAAATGCAGTCCTAACGTAGTAAGCAAGCTATACTTATCACTTGTGAATAGACTCTCGGCCCCAGATACTGCGACATACGAACGGTCCTGGCCTCAGTATTGAAAATCTCTTGCGTTACAGTTTACTTCAGTAACATACTGTAGTCTATTGCATTTACAAATTATGATTTCTGGACTGGGGCTTCCGGAAATTCCGGATTCGTCTTGTGCTTTTTGGGTTTCTTCTTTACAACAGCCACTAAAATTACGCCTCTGGCGTCTGTAATGTGGCGATAGTTTTATCGCTGCAAGAGTACCAGTTATTCTCTGCGCCGGAGCCAGTGGGACTGACTAATCAACGTATGACCAAAGTAACATCGCCATTGGATCAGTCTACAACATTGCCATTATCTGCTCAGACTGCTCGAGATAGATACCGCAGGGTCAGCTTCTTTCTGCAAGTTCCTTGAAGAAGTGACAGAGTTGGCTCTAGGGGATAGTAAGATATATTAGATCGAAGTGGCGGTTTACACGGATTTGGCCTTAATGTTGGCGATACTCAGGCACCCTAATTTGTCAAAACCCTGTAATTATTTACGTTTGCGGTTTGGATGTTGGTCCTGTTGCTTAGAAGAGGGATAAGGTATTGCGACAGTTGCAATGAACCAACAGCTAGTACATTGAAGTCTAAATACGACTCCGTTATACACTGTTACGTCTTAAAAGTTCATAATAATCCCAAGAAGACCTAGTATTTTCGAAGATTGGATATGCTCAGCGCTTTCTTCTCTATTCCTAATAGCCCGCTTCTAGTCTACTATCCGAAAATCTTTGAAACTCATTTCGCGTTTATGGTGAGGCCTAAGTTCGTGCATGCATACTGTGCGCTTTTTGCTGCTTATCTCGTCTAAACATGCATGCTACCTCACATTTTGACCTATATATATATATATGTTAGTGTTGCGGGTGTCTTGTTGACGCGCATTTCGCTTTCGCTACGCCTCAGCATTTATCTTATGCATAACAGTCCTGCAGTTTTGCCCGATTTTCCCTACCGTCACTGCATCTTCAATCGTGTTGATTTGCAGATGAAAAGCTTTCGGTTGAAGAGACATGCAACTCACCGACAGTAAGTCAGCTAGTAGGCTTATCCCACTCGATGATCCCTGTATTTTATGCTTTAAATTCCTCCATGTTTCCCAATTGAAGTCTTTTTTTCCTTTTTGCACTTCTTAAACGTTGCATTCGATACAGTGCGATACATAGTAATTAAGTAATTAGAAGATACTGTCGGTGGGCGGAGTATGGACCTTAAACTAATTCATGAGTAGGGCTGAGTTACTTAAGCCGCATTGAACTAGATGCGACGTTTTCGTAGAAGTGATACCCGATGTAGTTCACTTGAATCGCTAATTATCTCTCATTATACTCGAATGAGTTAAATTGTGTTTGGAATTTCCGGCGTTTGCAGGGGTTTCAGGCCACAAGTTCGTCCATAAGGATGTGGTTTGTGAAGAGTAACTTGTTGAGCCCACTTTTCTGAATCAACAGAAGGTTTTCGCCGTGATATAGCGTCCACTGATGTATTTAACTCCAGTTCTTTGTATTCGTACCTCTCCTTCTCTGCACTGGACTCGAAGGGTTCGTGCTGCTTTTTCAAAAAACAGCTTGACAGGGGAATGTTTTGATTGCATGATCGTCGTTGTCTTGGAAGGATTTTACTCGGTTAGCCGTTTGTCCTAGTCTAGTTAAAGTGAACTTAGATTACTTAAGTATTACTTACATATGCCCGGTTTCCAGTCATTAGTGACCTTTATTTCATTGAGCAGCGCCAGTCAAGGCTCTGCATAATACGCATACACAATGCGGATAATGGCTATGAAATAAAGCAGTCCCGAGGACGTTTAAACTATTAAGAAGACCAAACCAGACTGGCACATCGGATTTTATTGGCAAATTCATGATTCGCATACCTTTTAGGCGTTATCAAGTTCGAAAAAAATAAAGCTGTCAAACTAATGAATTTCTTGATTTTTCGGCTCTTATTCTACTCGGTGCCAGACTGCGATAACTAAATGGAAACACTAGCGACTACAAGGGATAGGGCTTTAGATCTGCGGTTATTGTACTTCTCCTTCAAGTTTTCGAAAGTGATTGTCTTCAATTGACTCTTCTTTCTTTGTCGTCCTCTTATATAAGTCTGGGTCAGTTCTGAAGGAGGAGAGCGAGGCGAAGAGGCGAATCACGTTTCCGGACGAAAGACGACAGTTCGAACGCACTCAGAGGAACGTGGATCTCCTCCAGTAAATTCTCTTTCTCAGTACTGTCTGGCCTTGCGGCTACTCTAAACATGCCAAAACCACTTAAACCTCTGACATTTTTTTATTGTTCCAGCTGCCCTACATGTTTTGCTTCCCGACCCGTGGATGCAAATGCCGTCTTTTGTCGGTCCTGTGGAGGGGCTTTGCCGCCCTTACCGACTCCAATTGCCGTGCCTCCCCGCGTGGATCGCCTCACAGTCTGTACTGCCTGTGGTTCGACCTGTTCCTTAGATGCAAACGCCTGCTTGGTGTGCGAGGCGCCTGTTGGAAGCACACTGCTAGCTGATGTAAATTTGAACCTGCCATTTCTAAATCCATTTTATCATGCTACCGAACCTTTAACAGTAGACACGTAGGTTAACATTATTTTTCACCTTCGTCACGTTATAGAGAAAGCCCTCGGAGATGGAGCGCCGCCTCTGCCCAACCTGCGGATCCCTGAATCCTGTGCAAATGGCCTCCTGCCTCACTTGTGAAGCCTCTCTGCCCCAGGGCATGGCCAGCCTAATCAACATTTCATCGCTCCTACCATGCCACCAAGTGCGGCCAACCAGTGTCATGTCTATGTGGAGCGAACCCACCCCATTCAGCATAAACACAAGGCCTGCCGCCGCCTCGTCGGAGTGTAGAGTATGCCATCGTCAAAACAGCCCGGATGCTCGATTCTGTGATCGTTGCGGCACGAAAGACCCCTGCATAGTGAACTATCAACAGCCAATGACCCCTTCAGTAAATTTCACAGCCTGCAATACCAACCTCAACTCCTCCGCTACACTTAAACCCCCGAACCCCTATCTTGACCCAGCAATGGAGGCAAACCATCTGCTCCATTCTCAAGCTACTATGAACTCATTACTAGAACCACAAAGACAATCCCAGCCGGTTCTTGGAGCCGACCACCTAATGTGCACCAAATGCTTCTCTGTGAATACAGTTGACAGTCGGTTTTGTGTTCGCTGTGGTACCGCCTTCGGCCCTCCCTTGCCATCGAAGACCTCGATCTTCGCTCTTTCCTCAGGTCAGATGCGTGCGAATGTTTGGCTTGCACTTGTGCAGCAGCCACTAGTGCCTTTTTCTCCCACTTTTCATTTCAGTTTCTTGCATACACCAGCCCAACTTAAGTATACCTTGGCAGAAGTACCACTTTATGACCGTTTTATGACCGATTATTGCAGTTAGAGTTCGTGCGGCCAACAGCTGTCGGAGTTATTCCCAGTAGCGATCTAAGTAACAACTTGTGAGGACAGTTTAAGAAAGTACACTCATATTTCGTTTGCTGACTATCGTGGTCTACACTGACGGGTGTCTTCTGCCCAGCCAACGTCTGTGGTCATTTTTTCTTCAGACTCAAACGTAAATTTCACTGGTTTTTGAGAATAGACCACACCATTTAAAGCTACTTCATCATTTGAACTGCTTACTCGCATCTATCATATTTAAATTAATTTACTCTTTTGACATGCGTCGAGCTTGCCCGCATTAGTGCCCAGTCGGTGATTTGCTGGGCTATCACCGAAGAAACTGCGTGCAACTGTTTTGCGGGAAGCAGACTTTCAATTAAGCAGCACTGAAGACTTGGGTGTGTACAAGCTAATTTCCATTACAGGACCGCTTTTCCCTAAGCGTGGTAAGAAAGAATGGAGCATCTGGAAGAAGGATTTCAGCTCCTTACTTTTCGAACTTTATCCTCCGAGACATACAGAAGCGTCACGCAAGAAGTTTAAATGTGAAATCTAACCAATAAAACACACCTCTTGATCTTTTTAATGGTTGCCTTGATTTTGTTCGCGGACGCCAATCACAGAACCAGTTTTTGTCCTCCAAACGGATTGCGTAGAGCTTGACGAGCGAAGAGATTTAACTCGTCATGTTTGTTACAAGAGCATTCAGCAATCGGATTACTGGGCATACTCGTTCTGCTGTGCCTTTAAGTTCAATCTACAGCCCTCGCGGCCAGTCACGACGGCCAGAAGTATGTGCAAAATGAGAGTGCCTTCCGCACAAAGGTGACCGGGAGGGCCATTTTTGACCAGCATTTTCCACCCCTAGTTTCGCAGGGCCCAAAGCCCGGTCCCGCGTCCTTTTAATCATCCAGTGTTATTAAGTCCAACGTTCCTCCATTGAGCCCTAAACTCTTTGCCCTGTCGGTTTTGATCATCATCTGTTGCCTGATCGATGTTTGCATTTGTACGCCTCGATCTACTCCTCTCGCTGTATTGCTCCTGATCTCCCAATCCTACTCACAGAAATTAAATCGAAGGTACGTGGACACTAGGGCTAGTGTGTCCCCCGCCATCCGGCAAGTCATGTGATCACCTGTTTTCACACTTGGCTCGTATACTTCTAGTAGCAGTCAGCACATGGGTCTAAATGGACAAGTATATTTCGCAGTGCTAATTTGGCATTCCCTCTAAGACTGACGGAATACACATCTCTCAACAGTTCGAATGACGATTTCGACGATGTCCACCATGTACTTCACAGCAGAGTTCGAGCAGAGTCGGTGACTTGCGCGGGAACTAATTTGTAGTGATAGCGGACTTGCGCAGCTTCTAACGCACTCTCCCGTTCTCCCAGACGCAGGTGGTTGGCGCGACCGGAGCCGTCCTTAGGCGTGCCAGCACACCCGGCTCGGGTCCCACGGAGGGGGAATGCCATAGAAACCACATTAAGAAAGAGTAACTGCGCCCTGCCTCTCAGCCTACCAGTCCGCCACTCCACGCAAAGAAACCATGAACTGACTGTGAGGTTTCTAGTTATTCCGTCAGTTCGTAGCCTTTCAAGCCACGGATTTTACCGCAGCGTGATGGCTTCAAGAGCGTCAGGTTTTTTATAATGAGGAAGGTGAGCTGAGATGTTGACCCCTCTTCCCGCTCCGAGGCACCAGTAAACTCCGAGCCGGTCAGGTATCTGATTCCAGAAGTGGGCGCAGTGGTTGATAGGGCTGGCGAGCCCGTCCGCACGCGCCACATGCACGACCTACCTTCCCAAACGCACACACAAGGAGGATACACAGCTATAAGCATTGAAATTTCTCGAGACTCCAGTTACCACAGAATAAGTGTTAAAAGGGTGTTTTTTCAGTCAGTGGAAACGAGAACGTATCTGACTTGCTTCTCTATCCGTCTTTTAGTGCCAAACACACTGTCGGGTCCACCAGAGCCGAGAAAACGGACACTGTCTAGCATCGGCACTCAGACAACCGGTCTCTACTACCCAAGCGCGGGCGATCTTCGACGAGCTCTTTCGGACGTGCAGCTGTTAAATAATCTGAAGAAAGACATTCGAACCCGGGCAAGACTGCTTGCGCCGATCAGCCCTGGCCGAGGTAATCAATCTGCTAAATTTTTCTACCCACAAGTGACTCATGTTTGCAAGTTGGTATCGCTGTGAAATATAACACCGAGGACCAGTTCTCTGTTAGCAGTCTCACAGTGCTAAACGGAAATATTAAATGACCTGAAGCTTAAGCTATCAAGGAGCCCGGTTGTAAAGACTGTAATGACATTGAATGATAATGCTCATATCCTGCTCTCTGGCCTTTCGTAAAGACTGGCGTAACGACAGTGGCTGACGAAGCCCAATAGCTCGTATATGCGCGGTGCATACTATTTGTCCATATCTCACATATGACAGGCGACAATATGGGAGATCTCTGATTTCACATCAGTGAGTTTCATAAAGTTCACATGAGGAAGAAACCAGTGCAATCTTGCCCTCAATCCTGAAGAAGAGGTCCGAGCTACCACATCAGTTAGCAACCCTACAAGCCTTGCCTGATAGCACTTCATGATAGAGTCGAACGCATCAGATTGATTGTAGTGAGGAGTTAGCCGATTTGCCGTTAGAGTAGAGTCTTCAGTGTCAGCCCTTACTCTTACTACTCTGCTGCACCAGTCGACTGTCTGAGCATGCCAACCAACTGGTGGTGAGTCTGGCTGCAGTGACAGACGTTGCATGAAGGCCTCTGAGGCCTACAAAACGCGCATATACGGCAGTAGTTAGTGGCTTGCGCTGACTCAACGCAGCCTTATAAACTCTTGCAATCGTCTGGACTCAGACAGCCGCTGCGTTGTCAGTTGTGATGGTGTTCTGTCAGAGGTGCGATCTTTTGGGCAACACTTGTTACAGCCTACCACCTGTTCAAGTGTTTTTGGACACAGTTGTTTTAGATAGAACCGACTCCTAAGGGCCCTGTCACCCTTGTTGGTGCGACAGAGCAGTTAGGGGCAGCAGACGGAAGTCAGTGGTAGCGATAAATTCAATGAGATGGCCAACATCAAAACTCTTCAATAGTGTTTCCTTCTCGACAACACTTAGCAAGACCCCCGCGACCGCACCACCATCCTGTGACTACTGTGAGCCTTACCTAATTCGTACAGGAGAGTACGTAGTCCATTGGATTTTCGCTTGATCCTCGTTTGGACAGCAGGTTACTGAGTGTCTCTTCGATTGCCTGAGACAACGAGAGTGCCAAGCTCCTCACGATTTGCGCAGTTGGTTCTCACTGCGTAATTACCAGTCATTCATGCTGTGCGCACATCGCTTTACGGGCGTTCCGACATTTTTCAGCTCTGATAAGCCTGCACACTAGGTCACGTCTGCGTACCCTGTTTGGTCGATCATAGAATCCTCACGGGAGCAAGGATGGTGGGTTCAGCAGTAAATAGTTGTCTGCTTCCTTCTGTTAACGCATACTTTGGTACGGTTGACACCAGCGCCCTCAAGAGGATCGTGCAATGTGATCGTGTGTGTCTAAAATGTCAGATCTCAGTAAAGTTATATTTCGGAGAAGGAGGCACGATCGCTGGAACAAGTGCTTTATTCGCCTGACGTCTCGGATCCTCACTCGAATCCATCATCAGAGGCAGAGTCAGTTTAAGGTAGGGGATTGCTCAGGTGTTGCAATACTTATAGGATGTAGCTCCTAGTCCTCTACATGCCTTCCACAGTTGGAAGCCCCCGACTTCATCACAGCTCGACTGGCTAGCTGTTGAAGTATGCCGTTGCTATGCGCCTGTATGCCGGTCAAGATTATCGGCTCCCACGCTCATTGCATGCCGCCGAGGGTCTGACTACCGGCTTTCGTCATCTGTATGGACTCTTGGGTGATTTGGCTAGTCGACATTGATACCGAGTACAGTAGTTATCCGCACTCTCTCCCCGCGGCTAACTACTTTGCCTAGGCTAGGTCTCAGCGCCGAATATGGAGCGAGGAGGCGTCGCGCTTGTTGGTTGATTGTGGACCGGAAAACCATGACTCGGGCGTTCGCGGCTCACGCTGTTGTCATCTCTTGCGAGAATTTCTGCTTCGTCAAGCTTGAATACGTGGTTGGGTTCCGTCGAATGAGCCGCGAGCTGGGAGTTGACGTCGTTCCTCCTCACTGCTGCCGAGTGCTCGGCAACCGCGTCCGGAGTAGTCTTCCGGTTTCCCTGGCATAGTTACTTTGCCGACAACTGCACCAGATCCGGTAAACGACTCCAGATGCTTCCTGTCGTGGCAGTGAGTCTTTTGGCCTCATGTTCTGGCGTCTTATTGTTGTCTCCGGTCAGTGCGCAACTCTAATTCCAAGGGGCGTAAGGAGGCGGCTGACGGCTTCCGAAGCATTCACGTACCGCACAGCTGGCCAAAATTTCGGGCCGGTTGGATTTTATCTGTAGTCTCGTTTACGCAGGGACTACCGATGTCACATGTAATTAGCGTTCTCCATTCTATCCTCACTGCGATACGGAATACGTATAATTCCATTCTGCCTCTCACAGGCGGCCACACAGCGGCGAGCAAGCTTTAATTAAGATTTTAGCCGTCTAAGACAAGAGGTCGGTGAAAGTCACTCTCATGCGATGGTTATTTCCTTGGGTCGTTTTTTCAGGTTTCCTACTGATACACTAGGGGGGACAGAAGGCAGTAAGTCTGATCCTTCACCATGATCAAACCGAAGCACTTATGAAGCCCAATTTGTAATGACCCCTCCTCCGAGTGACCGTGCGGCATCTCCTACCGACGTGGCATCCGAGTGGCCAAAGTCCGGTATATGTGCGTCGAGCGACCGACAGTTGCGTGGCACGTAGGGGTCGGGGGCGAATCCCTGCCCTGCCTCTGTTCCCATGCCCGCTTCGTAACGGTCTTGATCTGATCCCGCAGCTGTATTAAGATGCGTGTGGAAAGAGGGAATGAGGTCGATTCCGCGCAAGCTTCAACCCATATGACCCGAGTAGCTCTCAAGTTCAGGTGTTGCTGGTCAACGCGCGAATTATCATCATTTGGCGCTGTGTTTCCCTCACCTTACTTCCCCTTCTTATGTCTTCTGTCCTGCTCACGTGTAGTCCTTTCTCCTCTCTCCTATCTTTTCTCATCCTTTCTACTGCCGAACTGCGGTCTTTCCAATCTCGAAACCGACGATATATTCACCCTTTGAACATCCTTCCTAGCCTGGCGGTGGGCAGTGACCGGCTACCACAAATCTACAAATGCAAACACTAACGTCTGTACACAGACTTGTTTCACCGCACCCCTCAACGTAGGTACTATGTCCGAAGTACGTACTACTGCTATTCAGCAGTTGTAATGGTGTGGTTTGCGCCTGGAGTTGCGTGGAGTCAGCCAAGAAAGCAGTAATTTGTAACAAAATTTTAATTCTGATGTAACTCGCACTAGCCATCGATCCCGGAATCGACAGAAATGGGCGTCAGTTCATTAAAACCCTTCTTATCTTTACATTCACATCATTTGGCTAAACACGGGGTTCCAACCGGTCCTTCACGGGACTTTGGTGTGCAAATGTCATCACTTCTCATTGTGTGAGGCTGACGAAATTTTCATTTCGATTAATTTCTCAACAGGATACTGGCGAATGCAACTGGAGCACATTCTTGTGCACCTAAAGGCCCACACGCAGAACAATGCCGATTTTCGCAATTTGCTTGGAAACCCGCGTCTGGGCAAGGTATGTTACCTTGTAGTTCCATCAACCGCCTCTGAATTAAACGTCCAAACTGAAATTATGTAGGCGTAACTTAGAGACAACTTATACTGCCAAGGAGAATATTTGCTAAAGAAAGTGGTCACACATTAAATTGGGATCATATTTAATTGGCACGACGGGGCGAGTGAGTTCCGTAGCGCGATCCGTGAGCGCTCCTCTACCATTGTGTATACCCGATCGCAGTCGATAGGACAACGAGCCCGTGACTCAGCGGTCGCGGAATCGAGCCTCAGCTGTTCCACACTTCGGGGTTGAGTATGGTTAGCTGACGACAGCTAATAAGCCAGAAATTGCCACTCCAGTCTCACTTGTCCTTGTTGGTTACAGTATTTTGCCTAAATTTGAAGTGTTCGCCAGTTTAACCGTTGACAGTGGCCCACTGTCCTGTTGCATACAGAAGAACCCTCCCCAATAGCAGACTACCCTGTTTTGATTGTTTGCATTAAGGAATTTCTGTGACTCGAGCTAGACACGCATGGGTTCTTTTCATACATTGTCTAATGTCTCACCTAATATATCACATGCGATTGCTTGATGTCATAAGTCTTTGTAGCAAGACGTTAATCATTACTTGTCATTTATCATTACGAAATCAATGCAGCGTTCCAGGGTTCGAAGTTTGCAATGGATGGCGAGTGCGTCACCTTCTATGGAGAGCGAGGACAGCGAGGAGATAGACTTCGTAGATTTTTTGACAAGGGAAAGTCCAAGCATTAGGTCCCGAAAATGTGAAATTAGTTAAACGCCTGTTTGTTTGCCCTTTTTGTGTTTCACAAATCTTATTTTGCCTGTGCACATGCTCCAGCAGCTTTAATCTCCTCGCACATGTCGGTTTTCACGTTAGAAGTTCCGATCTTGACTAAAGTTCATCCCGGCTTCTAACAGCTCCTCTATGCCGGCATCGAGGAAGATGAGGGCGAGTTGACAATCTTTATGACCTTCCAACACCACAATCCACGAATAACCACTCAGGATCTTTTACCAATGCCATCGGAGGCGCAGTCAGATCGGATAAACAGGAATGGCGGGGTTCCTCAAGCTGCGGCGAGGTCACAAGCACACCAGCGGAATAATAATAACTGTTCCTCGCCTCTGGCAGATAATGCCCACTTTGAGGATGACAGCTGGGCCAGCAATTCGTTTGACAATCTCACCATCACCGACGACTTCTCGGAGGACGGAGCCACAGGGCCTCTTCGCCCCAAGTCCAGTGGTAGGCCTTCAGTCAGCGCTACTATGGCGTGATTCCTACCTTCATTTTCTTGTTCCTACCTCAACCTACCCGTCAAAATGTTGTTACGAGAGTTTTATGTTAAATTTTTGCATAGTATAGAAGAGGCGTCACGATACCTCCCTCGACGTGGTCTCTTGGTAGAGAAAAAATCTTGGCGCAAGTACAATGGACCGGTAATGTTCACGAACAAGGTCCGTGGACAGAGTGTGCCGGCATGGAGGTACAGAAGAAGGGGTTGCCAGTCAGTTCGATAAGTAAGAAGGGGAAACGAATTTTTCCACTATTGTGACCTGAACGGAAGACTCCACTGCAATTTGAAGCTGTGTGAAATTTTAGAGGTAGATTATTTCTCGAGCAACAGAATGCCTCTGCAAAAAGTACCAAAGCTTACTGGTAGATCCCCAGATGCTGTGGTTGGCTCGTCCACTCACTGCTGCGAGTTCTGCTGCGACATGGTATCTGCCGCTAGAAGAGAATAACTAGATGGCACATCGGAAAACCCAGTACAAACCGAAGAGGCCAGATTTGCAGGTTGTCGTCATAAATACAATCGTGGCTGTCTTTTAGGTGGAAATGCACCTGCCGATGAAAACAATGGGGATCCAGTACAGACTTATCGGAACCACGGCTCACGCATTGATAATCTGTGGATCAGGATACCGATGTTAGGTACCTCTGCATACAGAAGCAAGATGCAGCGACGCTGATCCCTATCATTGGACGCGAAGTAGAAGCAGAGTCAAAAATATATTCTGACCATTGGTCAGTAGGGAAATTACGCCGACCCGAATACAGGTGCGCACATCCAGCAAACCGAAAGAACTAAGTTAGGCAGCAAGATTGAGGGCTTCAAGAAAAGTTGTAGAGTTCCACAGCATCTACTTTAGGGGAACTTGGATGAACACTGCTGGTGTGTTTTGGAAGTAGATGAGAACCACGACGTAGCAACCTTACGTGATACTAAGCCTCGGGTGTTCCACACTTCGGAGTTGAGTATGACCCGCTGACGGTGGCTAATAAGCCAGAAATGGCCATTCCAGTCTACCTTGTCTTTGTCGGTAATATCATTCTGCCTATATCATGCGCCGCTGTGCGGCTGCTGGTTGGGCTCGCGAGAGAGTCCATAAGACACAACGGAACGAGTGAGTTCCGTCAGAACGATCGGTGGGCGTCCCCCTACCATTCAAGGAAGTATTTGTATACTTGTTGTTATTTAATGCCAATTTAACTTCCTAATATAGACGTCAGATTTTTCATTCGATTCTGATTTTTGACCTGTATCTACAACAACAGTTTGACTGTCGCATGCGACTATATCCACCGTGTGCTCCACAGCAAGGTGCAGCAGGCACGGTGACTTGCGCGTGAACTAGTTTAAAGTGGTAGTAGACTTGCCCAGCATCCACCGTACTCTCTCTTCCCCACTCTCCACCTGGATCCGGTGTCAAAACAGAGTCAGGAAGACCGGAAGCGGGGGAGGCCGCAGGTGGATGGCACGATCGAGCCCGCACCTTGGCGCTCCACTCCGCACCCTCTGGTTCACGCAGCAAATGATCAACAGCAAAAGGGACTGGCGCGGCCGAAGCCGCCCGACCAGTGCCTACTAGGGCAGGAATCACACTATAGTAGCACCGCAATGCCTGTTCTTCACATAGTCTTCAAAGACAAGTATTTATCACATCCGTTAGGCTGCTCCGGCAGAAAGCCTTTCTGCTTGTAGTTCCCATTATGTGTCGATGGGCGAATGTCTCTTTAAATTCCCATCTTTTAGCGCGTGGTGGACGGGGTTCGTCAAAGATGGGCGGGAAGGGGAGCAGGCGTGTACAGCAGAAGCGTGGGGGCCGAAGCAAGGCAACGAGCCATCCCGTACCGGAAGAGCGAAAAAAGGGCAACGGAAATTTTGCCGGTACCAACATCAGCGAAAACGGCGGCTCTAACGATACCTATCAACGTCCCCAGCCTCTGCATTCCAGCTGTCGGGCGGACCCCAATGCCTCACTCATACCAGGTCTAGCTGCGGTTGTGGAACAGCGTATCGCTAACCTTTCCGTGGGTTTTTTTTAAATCAAACGTGGATGCTATTTTTGCCCTTTCATGTTTTTTTTATCCGTCGCCGTTGGGCATTTTGCATCCGAAGTTGTGGGTCTTCTGGCATCCTCTTCTACGAGGACTATTGATCATAAGGACCTCTGTTAGCAATCATTTGGGTAAAATTCTGCCTCTCTGATTTTTGCCATGGTATACTTTTTTCCTGTTGAACTTTTCAGCCTTTGGACAGTGCCTTGCTGCAGCATCTTCGCTCGGGCCCAAGCGGAAGGGATAAGGAAGTCACCGATCTATTAGCCAAGGTTAGACCAGAACCTCCAACGAAATTACCTTTATTTTCCTATTTAGCCATTATGCCACTTCGCGTTATTTGTCTTCAAGGCCCTTGGCTCGTGCTGTCGCACTGTTCTTCACGAAGAGAGGAGACACGCGTACATGTTTTTTCGACTGCGATTCTGAATTTTTAAAGTCCAGTAGTAGGGCGATCCGCCTGCTCGACTCATTGCCACTAGAAGACGGCAAATGTCGGTAGAGTGTGTTGACGTGAACTTCGCAATCCGCTTCAATTTCGCAACAAAGACATACCAAACCGTAAAGCTTACCCACTAATAATCCGGTGTAAACTGTGGTACATGCTGCGCAAGTCATTAATGCGGCTCTAGGGCAGTGGTCGTCCTCATTGCCTACGATGAAGGATATTTGAATGGGACTTAAGGCCTACCTGACACCTCTACCGCCGCAATTGACGAAGTCCACCTGGCTGGGAAGTGTTGCTGACCCGAACTTGAATTCATGATGAAGTAAAGGTGCGGAGCATTTATCCCACTCTTCGTTCCTACACTCGTCGTATTTCGAAAGCAAGACAAAGTCTACCAGGCTGGAGCTGGGCACGGATGCAGTGATAGTCCGTCTAGGTGTGCCAGGCGAAATGGGCCCTGTCTGGAAAACGAACTAGGCTGCATGGAAAGAGGTGGTAGCTCGGGTGAGAGTTGTGAAGGAGAGGATGTATCACCAGAGCCACAGTAAGAGAGCCACTACAGCTTGACCCTCAGTTCCTTGTGGGGCAAACTTTTCCTGTCAGCCGACAACCTCGGCCGCAGCTCTTATCGTGCCGTGAAATTTTGAAGGCTCGTTTACTTGTTTGTAGTGAATAACTTAAGCGTTGGATCTGAGCCGTTGTAAACTCTATCCGTTTCGAGTCGGCTGCGAATGAGATTACGCCTAGTGGTCCGAAATCGACTTCTTACGCATGCCAAACACGGACTCTCATCTCATAGAAGCGAGAGACGCCATAATGGCCACATTGAGAAGGAGCCGTTGTAATTTGGTCCCGTTAGGATGGGGAGCCAAGTTATCCCGTCAGATTACAATCCTCAAAGCTGCGGCCTTTTGCGTATCGTGGCAGGTCTCAGCAGGTCACATTTGTTATAGTGGGGAGTCTCCCGAACTTTCATGTGGGAAGGTTATTCACTATCCGCCTCTGACGCATGGGTGGCCGATCTGAGCTTTCTGCCGATCTGTGTTCAAATTGAACATAGGACCTGAAGTCGCGTCAGCCTCCGTCTCAGCCGTGCCGCAGACGTTTGACAGTAGTTAAGAGCCTAGATAGCTTCGTTACAGCCCAACCGACGGGTGCTGGGAGCCAACGCGGTCCCTATTTCCATCCGGGGCAATCGTTGAGCAGGCCCCATCCGGCGACGACAGTTTGACCGTCAATTCCGATGATGTCTAAAGTATGCCCCGCAGCATGGTGGGATCAGGGACGGTGACGCGCTCGCGATTTAGTTTATAGTGATGGCAGACTTCTGCAGCACCTACTACACTTTCTCTCCTTTTCTTTCCACCTGGGTCCGGTGCCATAAGAGTCCAAAAAGGCTGCCGGCGCGGCGCGAACACGCAGCTAGGCGTGCCTACCCACACTAACGTTCACGCTCCGGGAAAGAGGTATCATTGACTGACGCCTGCGGTCCGCATGACGGCGGCGAACTGTCCTACCTGGGAATTACTTGTGCCTGCTTTTGTAGGTCCGGTGTTTCACCTTCGTGTCCCTAATGTCCTTATCGTCTGCTCCAAGCCGCAAAAGCACGCAAACAGATGTGTCATCTGCACACCGAATATCGTGTTTCGTGCGTTTGCGTGCACATGTTGTTGTCATGGCAGCCAGCCCTGTCTCGCGATTGCACGCGCCTTGCCGCCATGGCAACGACGTGTTTACTAAGAAGAAATTTTGAACAACTCTGCGAAATAGCATCCAATAGAGCGGACTCCCTCATTTAGTGCTTCCTAAATTTTGCCTTTTAGGGTGCCAACCCGAGATGCATTGATCCCTCCGGTGATGCGGCTCTAATAGTTGCTGTCCGAAACCGTTATTTGGGAGCTATTTCGGCCCTTGTGCAAGCAGGAGCCGACGTTAACACCGTAGGCAACAGGTATCTATTCCGTTCTCTGTTCCGATGCCCACATTCTAGCTCCTACCGAAAGTGACGCTTGAATGTTTGATTCCTACGCCGTTCGTTGCTGGAAATAGAACAGTAGAATACAGTTAAAGAAGTTACTGTTAAAAATGATAGGCATATCAGTTACACATAATGAACACTTCACCATTCAGTTTTTGACCTACAGGGGATCTTAATACTGTAGGCCCTGTAAACACTACTCACTTCACTGTCATGAACTGTACTTTCTGCAAACTGACAAATGATCGGAAGTCCTTGCATCTATGCTCCTTAGAACACTATCATATTATAAACAATAGCTAAACAAACAACCATAGTCGCCCTATTCATACTATAGTTTTGGCAGTGATCGCGTTTTTTCACGTGCATACACTAGAATTTATCGACCTTCCACGGAATGGAGTTTTGAAACTCTAAAGCACAGGTGCAGCTGCGAATTGGGTTTAAAAGTATTCGGGAATAAAAAACCATGTTTTAAAAGACCCAAAACGTACACCCTTGGAGAAAGAGTGCAAGGAAGGATATTTTTCGTCCATAAATTTCGTTTGAATTTATGCGGGTATCAAAATCGATGGGGAAACTCCGCTCTACCTAAGTAGTCAGTTATTGTCGAGTGCGGTTTTTTTCAGTTGACCGAACGGATGTGCATTCAAAAGCCAACATCCTGGCGTATCTGAAATATTTTGGGTTTATGCTACTTGATGATCTATATTACAACTTCACTTAGATAACACTTCCTAATCAAAAACGCATTTCAGAATCTCAGTTGACATTTCATGAATTTGGTCGCTGACTATAGTTCGGCCTGAGATTTGCGTACTGGCTCCCAGGTAGACAGAAGTAACACAGGAGAGTTTATCTAACTTATTCGGCCTTTAGTTCCGCGGCAGTGCTGTTTGAATACTTTATAATGTTGCAATTAGAGCCTTACCAATGATTTTTCTCCTTACTTTTTGTTCCTGCGATAAATGGAAGGAACGGCAACTCCGTGCTGCATGAGGCGGTTCTGCTAGGAGATGAAGCCATGCAAATTGTCAAAACGCTTTTGGAGTAAGTTCAAAATCATTTAGTGCCATATTTACATTCCCTATTCTCTAAACCAATCTGATCTCGATCGTAGTACCAAAGGGGTCCGTATTTAATGGTGCTGTCAGAGTTCAGCATGTCTCTGACAAATGACTGATGTCCATTAGGTCAGATAAGGAAGACTTCCAATGGCCGTCTTTGGCAATATTTCCTGTCCCAGGCCCGTCATATCGGTCCGAGTGCAGGTTTGGACCTATCTGGCCTACCAGTTGGGCCATAAACTCCCGGTCTGTCGGTCAAGATCGTAAATGTTGAAGATCGTGCTGGAGTGGCACACATCTGTAGGGTGCGAGCGCTGGAAACAATAAGGATGTTTGCTTTTCCGCTGTAGACAATATTTCTCAACTATTGACCGCCCTTCAATGTGCGACTGCCTGTGAACCCGCTGGGCAGCAATCCCCAAAGCAGAAAGGAAGACCAGTACTATGTCCATAGACGGGACCAACTATTCCCACCTCCCTGGTGCGCGTTTCCACGTGATTTTTAGGCACAAGTACACATGTATGCCTGCTGGTTGCATGGTTGACAGTGAGGGTTGTTGGCATCAGTCACTTTGAGTCACTGCTTATTTCCGAAATGTCTGGCTAGCTTCGGATGCATACTTTTCCCCAGGTCAGGTGTAATAAAGTAGCCCCTCCATACATATTTCTCTTACCACAGACTTGGTGCTGATCCAACCGGGAAAAATGCTCAAGGTCGCTCTGCCCAGGACATCGCGGATGAATCCGGTTTTGCCAAGCTTTCCAACTTACTAGCAGCTGAGGTTGACAGGAAGAAACAACAAGAAGGGGCCGACGGGACTGTTATTGCTCCCGCCTACGCATTTGAGCACCCAGCGGAATGCTGATTCTTCAGGCCTTTCCCCTCTCTCCATCTTTCACACGCATTTATTTTCTCCTGTGCCGACGCCTTGTTCTCATTTTCCTATCTTTGGAGGAGCGTTAAGCCGTGTAAGCGCGTCCTCTGGCTTTCACCCCTTCGTTTTTTTTTCTAGAGCACATTACTGTACCCATTCTTAATGCGCACACACCCGCACGCTTTCAACCAGTTCTTTCTCTGTATTTTTGAGGCTTTTGATGTGCCGACTCCTCTAAATGCCAACCTGTCTGACTTTATTAAGTGAAGTAAATTATTAGTTCGCTTTTATCTGCTCTTTTGTGGTCCTCGGGGCTGTGCTACTGGCTTATCTCATTTGAGGGAATTAGGTTGATTGAGGCCACCTGAGCATCGAATAGGCGTGTGTGCTCTTAGTCCTGACCGTTCACTCGCCATTAGCAATACTTGGCTTCCCTTCGAGCGTTACCTCAGTGCATTTAGACCGTGATGTCCGCATGGTGAATGGACGCCACACGAGTCGGATGCACCAATTCGGCAGCCGCTCTTGGTCAAGGAACTTTTTCATCTATGGAGGAGTCTCTGCTACAATCGCTGACTGAATTGATGGTTGTGACTGGTCGGCTAATAGTCCTCGCAGATGCTATCATATATTTCGCAACCGTGACTCGAATTCGGCCGCCCAGAGCGCTCCACCCCTCGGAGGATTCTCGGCCGTGGAGATCAACCTTGTCAGAGACGCGCCTATTGAGCCGCTGTAGGTTGTGAACAAGTGCGACAGAACCAGGAGTAGACGGCGAAACAGTGTAAGGATTAACGAAAGTGGTGTCAGTAGTAGCGATGGCGTCAGGGGGGGGGGCGCTGTGCGTGGACCTAAAATCCTCAACCGCTGCACTGAATGCTCGGTCCACGGTTTCGCTTGCTGCAGCCGTGGGAGCCTCAGGGGTCGGGTTTCATTGCTGGACTCAGTCCTGTGAGCTAACTTATTGGTTGCGGAAATGGCGGAGGGGGTTGATGTCCGCTTGTTGGTGATTGCACAGCGGCCGATGGTGTGTCTTCCTGTGCAGGCAAGAGACACGATGTGGGCGTCACCGATTACGAAGCCGGGCAACACCACGGAGGCTTGTTACTTGCCCTAGATGTTCAGTGTCCTGTGCGGCATGAGCGACCCTCCACGCACGCTTCGCTTCATGTTCGAAGTGCGGAGGGGGTGCGGCCATTCAAACACAGCCCCCCTAGTCTACCTCAACTTATAAGCCTGATGATCTTTAATACGCAAGGCGCCAAGCCCCTATGGTCCACAGCATAGGCAACAGCCGGAAAGATTTAGGAAATGGCTGCCCGAAAAGTCTTCGATTTTTCGTAGAAAACTGATGAGTCTGGAAGCCGGCATGCATGCGGCTTTTAGTCCTTCAGTTCCCACTCTCGGGAAGTGACTGTCGAGACCTGAAGTTGTGATGAAGTACATCCCGACTTGCTCCCGATGTCATTGTGTCGAAAACTGATGCCGTCTCAAAGTGCAACGTTGTGTTGCCGTCCTGGCACAAGAGAGTGTAACTATGGCGAGGTTTGGTCCTGCAGCTTCACCTTATTAATACTATATGGATAGTTTCCTAAAGGACTTTTCGTAGGTGCGATTACGTTGACTTTGCATATGTCACGTGTTTACGTCTTCCTTACTACTTAAATCTGGCGAATGTCTGTGCCTCTTGTGGGGAGAGGGGTGTGTTTATAAGCCAGCCCCAGTTACATCAGGTATCGGTTCACACGCGCTTCCTGCGCTTGCTTCAAGCCCTGCTTGCGCCCACTTTATTATCATAATCCGGCGAGTGGCCAGGTATACTCGCTAATGGAGTTGTTCGAACGGTGTAGAACTCCGTCGGTTTCACTATGGTGGCCATGAACTGCGAATTACCACTCGGTTCCCTCCGTGGCCATCCGGATGTGACTGTGTCCTCCTTCTCTCCTTAATCCACTGTACCAGTAGAGTGCGTACAAGCCACCTTTGGTTACATCAAACATCAGTTCACACGTGCTTCCATGTACGTGCTTCGAGCCCTGCTTGCTCTCTCTTTCCCTCCTAATCTAGCATGTGGCTAACTTGGATGTGTTGAATAAAATTGTTTTGGTAAGCTAACCATATGGACCCAATCAAGTGGGACTGCAGAACAAAACCTAGCCGTAACTTTGTACTGCCGTCTTTGCAAGGTAGAGCTTGCTGTAAGGGTTAGCTGTCTAACACACTTGCTACACAAAGCGAAGAACTGGTCGTCTATTCTCATCTAGTTTATTAATGAATTTTTTTTAACAGACTTCGCCCCTTTGCCAAGTACAAGTTCCGGGGATGGGGGGGGGGTGATGGCCCCTCGTACGATTTAGACGTCAACGCCACGCAGCACACCACCAAGCGACTAAGTTCGACGTGTGAGGGCCTCGCGGGTGGCGGCTGACGATGTGCATACTCTCCAAAGATACTGCCGGAGGCATGAGATGGAAGAAGAGGACGAAGTAAACATCAGTCAAGAACTCCCCGCCAGCAGTTAGCTTCCAGCTACGTCTTGTATCCGTGTAGAAGGGACAACGGAGGCCTCCTATATTCTTCGCCTACCCCGGGTTCAGTCAGGATGACCAGCAAATGTATAAAAAAAACATGTACTGAGACCGATATAAGCTGGAAGACCGACTGATCCGTTAGAATTCGCGGCGTATTTTGCTTTTTTGAATTCTATTCAGGCATGCAATAAGCACCACAACACGAGTTCTGATGTGCACTGCTGTTAAACCGGTTCTTTCGGCAACTTTGACCTAGTGTTTGAAATCTACAACCCGGACTTTTGCGCCCGTATATTCAGTGTTATGCTGTCATCCTACGCTGGGCGGTAATCAAAGGTAGTCCATATATTTTAACTAAGTCCTCTTGGAAACCTTTTCGCGTCAGAGGAAGGATATTGCCAGTCTGTAGGAAGAGTAAGAGCACTCTGGAGATGGCAACATGCCAGAGGCCAGTCAGTAGTTAAGTTGCGAACAACTATAAAAACCCCCGAAGTGAACCATAGTGCGAATTCTCCGAAAATTCAGCAACAGAGACGATAATTTGACCAAACTTCAACACTTCTATTAATTCTGCTACAAGAGGTAGCTCTCCAACCCTGTAGCCTGCGACTCATGCAAGAGAATCACCAGCAATAAGGGGATTGTAAGTCTGAAGCGTGCTAGCATATTTTATTTGAATGATGGAAGTCGTCGATCACCTGTTATGCCCTCCTGCGGTGCCTAACATAAATGTACCTTAAATTTGGCGGGAGTGATCCGACAGGGAGGCCGGCAGGCTGCTGTAGACTCTTGTGAATAAATGCGTGAGGCGGTAGTGGATACGAATCCGTTTTCTATGGTTGTTTATAATAGGCCCACCGAATGGGCACAATTTCACAACCGACATGGTCGAGGTCCCAGCCCAGGGAAGTGGGTGCAGTTTCAGAGGGCCTAACACACTGATCTTTAATCAAGACAACGGTGATGTGGTTAAATGGTGCCGGCAGACCTCACGCCCGGAACGTAAAAGCCTGAAAGGGTCTTGAGTATCTGCGACAATACACTCACGAGCAGACTTCTTTCGAGAACCTATCAGAAGCCGCCACCCCGTGGCAGGTAACACCAGAGCGAAATGCACACACCAGTCGTTTCCGGAACATGCCTGCACTCCACGCGACGCGCTTTAACTTGTCCCGCCTGTTCCTGTTACTGCTGCGGAGTTATAAGTGACACGACATTTAGACTGTTTCTGCAGAACCAAACCTGTGTGCCTCCGAAAAGCCCGGTCTGTAGACAGATGGCCTCATTCTAACGACGCGTAGACAAGGTAGCGCACTGTGATGCAAACTTTATTGATCAAATTGTCGACAGTTATCAAGTAATGGCAGTCCAGTATAAGTAATCACGAATGCGAACTCGACGGCCTGACTAGCACGAATGCGATAACAAGATAAGTCTGAATCGGAGGACCGAGAACTCGAGGAGTAGGCAATAGCAACATCGCCACTCATAAGTGGTTGCCAAACTATCCTTCGTCCATATAAAAATCTTAACAGCGGACTAAGATGTGCCTATCGACAAATATGGTCGGAAGGCGCACTGCTACTAATAAATCTGACTGACTGGAGTCTGCCACGACAGACCAGGTCCTGACTCGAAGGTTGTCAGCTGACTGGATACTCGGTCGCCGTTGTCAGTACGGTGTGCCTATATGGGATGAATAGTTCGAGGTTTAGGAGTCAGGCCCAATGTCTCCTTCCTGATGTAGCCTTTGTGGAACCTTAATTAACGTGAGGTCTGAGTTGCACCCATGAGCTTCTGGCAAATTCTGAGGAATGCAGATCGCGTGTAGAGCGCGTAGACCGACTGTGAGTAACTGCGACCTAGCCAACCGACGGCCGTTTTGACATTGTCTTGACGTCGGAGTCAGGTGGATTGGATGGGTAGAGTGAGGTAGGTGCTAAGCAAGTCTGGCTTACTGTGAACTAATTTAAACGCAAGTCACCAGTGATGCGTTTACTGTACTGTGGGGAACACGGTGGGCATCGCTGGATGCGACGGCCAAACTGACACATACTTAACAAGCTTTCTATTAACATTCAGAATATGGCGACTAGCTTTCCGACGTTACTGAGAACAATACCATTTCTATGGCTAGAACCGGGAGTCAACAACCAAAATGACAACAGCTTATAATGTATTCAAAGGAGGGTACAAACTACCTACTTCCTCACAGGAAGCATGATTCTAAAAAACCGATACGGGTAAAACGAATAGTCAAGACCTTGCGCTCATGAAAGTTCTAATGCACCGACGTCCTAAGGAGAGCCTAAAAGCCATTCCGCCAAAAGAATCGAGATTCACAGACCGTGTTACATCGAAGCGGTCGCTTGATAGACACGGATGATCGACTAGTACATATAAGAAATAAGTGACTGAGAGAGACACCGGGAGATCTAACCTTATGAAACATCAGCGCAT